GCTTTGCCTTGTTTGGGTGATTCCCTCCCGACGGCCGTGCGTTGCCCGTCGCATCTCTAGGAAATGGAGCAGCCTTACAGACTTTCGTTACGAGTCCTTGTCGCCCACAGTTGAAACACGTCGGCGCGGATCTACAATCCGTTTTCAAGTGGCCGACTTTGCTGCAATTGAAACAGCTGTCAGCGGACGACCGCGAGGTAGTCTCGGCCCGCTTCTCCGGGGAGGTGCGACTCGTTTTAGGCCAAACATTCGGATTGCCCCCCGACTTCCGGTTTTCATCGTTGCGGTCGACGAGCTTCGCAAACTCCTCGTGAGTTTCTGGTTGCCGGTCTCGGACCCAGGTCATCACCTCCCGCGGCAGAGCTCGCTCCATTTGCTCCATGACGAGCAAGCTCTTCATTCTCGTCATATCATCAACGTGATCCGCCTTCATCCAACGATCGAAGAATCGACAGATCTTCGCTGTCCACTCCGTGCACAGGTCTGTACCTGTTCGCTTGGTGTTTCTGCACTTGTCTCGGTAGGCGTCGGCATTTAGGTGGTAGCGGGAGAAAAACGCGGTTTTCACGGACGCGTAGTTTTCCGCCTCCACTAAGGACAACTCGGAGTATGCCTCGAGAGCGATCCCCGTCAAAACAGACGCCAAGAGGCTAGCTTGCAGCTCGGTGGGCATCTTGTGGACATGGCAGAGTTTCTCGAAGGCTGTGAGGCACGTCTCTATGTCGGCGTCGTCTCGGAACGGAGGTAGTAGTTTGACGTAGTGACGCACATCACCGCGCCCGCTTTGTCTTCCGCCAAGCCCCAGGTGCCCCCCGGCTTCGCTCTCGTAATGTCTGTGGTCCGCCCTCATCTTAAGGATCTCCAGCTCTAGTTCATGGAATCGGATCCTTAGCTGGAGATCACCATCGTTGGAGCGCCCCTCACTACTGTCAACTCCTGCATGGACGTCAATAGCCTCCCGCGACACATCTCGCACTTCATCTCTCGCGACATTCGAATCTTGACTCATCTGACTCTCCAAAATGCGCTGAATAAGTTCATCTTTTCGGAGCGTTCGCTAACGCAGTAGAAAACAGTATGTAGCGTACGAATTCATGATTATGTATAGAATACCGCTATCTTGCGGAAAACAGTACATTCAACAATTTGGTTGATGTGTGAATGATCGAACTGAGAAAACATTTATTGTCTGTAAGATCGTCCCCGATGGGTCATTCAGCAATTCATTAAACAGGTCTGGGTGCGCCCCTAAGTTCGAAGAAACCGCGATAATGATGCGCCAAAACGCAAGAAGGAGGGAGAATACTAACGCATTTCACATATCACAATGTAAGGAAGGCACGTGTGTCGTTGCGCCTTCTGTTGCCCTGTAACAGAAAGAGATAGTATCTAAGCCGATGGGAGCCTAGTGTGTGTTGACGTCGGTGTAATATATTATTGAAGGTTTTCCGACTCTAATGTTTTGATATAATAAAAAAAATTGTTAGTCAGCGTCTAAGCTGTCTGTGTCCTCTTCTTGTCCTTCATTTTTTTTTTTGCGCTGTTTCCTCGTTCCAATTGAAAAACGATGTATGAAGTAACCAAGTGCGCTCGGTTGGCTGACTTGTAATTTACTGTACTCGGCGTGTATCACCAATAAACGTGCGGATGCACACTACAGTAACAGGGGCTGCCACGACCGTCTTTGTATATCACACGAAGGATATATACAATATAAAATTCTTTACAGCGATAGCTGTCATTGAGTCTTCCCACCACTGGATATGACGTCCGATGTTGGTGCTGTAGTTGTTGTTGTTCTTGTCGCCATTGTTGATGTTGTAGTAGGGTGTCCGTCGTCGATGTTGCCGAACTTGAAAGAGATCGCCCGCTGTCCGCGAGAATCAATCCTGTGTCCGCTGCGTGTGGAGCGAAACCGTTACCACTGTGCTTTTCATTTGTTTTTTACTGCTTTACCACTGAGCTAAACCACTGCGTTAACAACCCGCTTTATACTTAAAGGACAACTGCGCTTCATTTTTGCTTTTAAAAAATGCGGTTCTTTTCAGTATCACGTAGGAAGACCACACGTCAAATATTATGACCTAATTCTGTCTAAATGTTTCTTAAACGGTCCGTCAAGATTTGCAAAGCGCCAGTTGGGAAAATCAGCTGAATCTAGCGGGCGAATTAAGGTGCAGCTACCGGCGCAGTCAAGGCTACGATGTGAGCGTAGCCAAGATTGAGCTAAAGGTCATCACCATTGCCCCTTTTAGCTTTTCTTAGTTCTACAGGCATGTGTAAGGGGTGACGTGCTCAACGGCCCGACCACATTAGCGTCGCGGAGGCTATCCGCGGGACGCTGGCCGCCTCCAGCTGCCGACTAAAACCAATTTTCGCCCTCAGCGACGCGACGGCGCCGCCAGGCCAGCCTGTCCTTGCGCGGTTCAGTGCTCGCCGCTCCTAGCCGAAGAAGAAAGGAGCCAATGGGAGGTAGAGTAGATAGTGACGTTGCGACGCTATGGCAACGCGCAAGTCGGTTCTCCGCGCATCTTTCACGCTGCAAAGGTGCGTAGCCTTGTTTCGTTTCGTCTGCTATCCCTATTTCCCCCAATGCCATTCTTACCAGAGCGGTTCCTGGAAACTCTGCGACTGTTGCGCTTTTTATATGACAAGACGCATCCAGACTACCTAGATAAGGAGGCTAAGAATAACCGCGGGGAAATTAAACGGAGAGGAATTTGGAATTACAGTTGAGTTTCTCCGTGGCACTTGTTGAATGTTGCCTGTGTAGTGACGGATGTTGTGTTGATTTGGTGTCACCTTCAAATGTAGCCTTTACCTCTGGCACCCCGCCGGGCAAGGAAGCATTGACCTGTTATTTGGTGTTTCGGTAGCACCAACTCGGCCGGACCCAAAATCTGCGCCTCCTTCCGTTCAGAGCGCTACGACGTCGCACAATCGACGAGTAAGCTAGGAGGATCAGATTCACGCTGATCACCAGGTTATCATGGACACCTACCATGTAGGCAGCGAGTGCGGTTTCGATGCTGATATATCCGAAGGATGTGGCTCGAAACGGAAGAATTTAATGAAGAGCGGACGACGAAACAATAAGAAATCATATTGCGAGATCCAGTGCCGTCACGTGACTATAACGCCTCGCAAAACAGAGGTCAATGTGGCCTTCTCGCTTTGGGATGCTGTACGGCGGTGCCGCCCAGCAACGCCGTTCCCGCTAGTGGGGTCATGCCTTAACGTGCCTGTGCAACGCGTCTGATGTTAGCCGTCCGGCCCTCCCGCCGTTGCCGCCGTCGTCGTCGTCTCATCCTTTGCGAATATTGTCTCACGGAGTTTCCTTCACACTACGTGCGCAGACTGATTTCGCAGCTTTGCACACGTCGTCGAGTGGCGTAGACACCAAAAGGTGGCGAAGAGTGCAGTGCAGACGACACTAGCGCCTGGCACGCGCCCGTCCCAACGGCAGCCCGTTGTCCCACCCCAATCCCGCCCGTCGTTGCGTAGAGGATCACGTGACTTCTTGTACCACGTGATAGCCATGTTTTTGGTGGCCCGAGCCCAATCTTTCCAGACGAAGCCGTAGTTTCGATTTAGATATCTGTTCACGGTTGAAGTAAGATTTAACTGTATATATCCCGTTTCTCGCGAAGCAAATAAAGTACTCTTTTATCAGCGTTTTTAAAGCAACATCATTGATTATTTCGAAATTTCCCAAATGGAGCGGAACAAAATGCGCAATCAAACACTCTGTAACAAGAACAAAAACAAACAAACAAAAAGAAACGCGTTTGGAACAAAATGTTCACATCTCTATTTTGTTCCGAACGCTTTTGTTCACACACCCGGGGTTCGTGAACGCGACGCCGTCGCCCGACGAGTTGGCCGTAATGTGTCGCATTTATGGCCCTGACGGTCCGTTAATACACGACTGCTTAATATTTGTTACACTGGACTTGAAGCCCGATCTAAGCTCATATATTCAGGGCACAATACTCGAAGTAATATTAACGAAGATCATTAACAAAAAAAAAAACAAGAAAAAAAAAAAACGTAAGCTTTAAATAACGCAATAGTGATGATTTTATTTATTTTTCGTGGTCCACTGTAGTTAGAATCTTAATCAAATAAAGTGTCAACTCGGAGCGATACTTCGTTGCACCTCACGACGGACTGCCGAGGACGGTATTGGTCATTGGAGCCAATCGAACGCGGTGTGAGCGTCAAGTAGTTTTCTGAGAGTGCGCAGCGACGCCCGGGGCCCGTAGTCACGTGGTAGGATGAAAAGCTGGATTGGCTAGGATTGCTCGTAGCGTTACCTGTGGTCTTGCATATGGTAAAACGGAGTGTAGGTGATTTCAAGTGAAATCGAACAAAGGGCGACTCGTCGACATGTTTAATTCACTTGACATGATATACCTCCTGACCTAATCTCTCGTAATAAGGAACCCATAACCAGAATTGTTCAGAAGAAAAGAAAACTTTTGGGAGACCAAAGATTGCAGATCACGAAGAAGTGGAAATTCGCATTTACACGCAGCACTCGAAAGTTCCTGTTTGGTACCTAAATAAAATATATCTATATATATAGGAAGAAGTTTAATATCTTATTTTAAATATTGTAAGCGTAAAGATGAGTGGTTAAAATATTATTTTTTGGCAATCGATTTCTACATAATTTTACAGACATTGCGAAACATGGCAAATGAAGCATTTGTAAATTTTTCAAGATTCTTTCTTATCGGATACTTATGCCTCATAGATAAAATGCAATAGTATAACGTACCCCCCCCACACGCACGCACACGCAGATACACACACACACACACACATATATATATATATATATAAATGATGGAGTTATCAAGTGTTTTTACAGTGCCTTGAAGATATCTTAGCACTCAAACAGGTGCTGAACACTACACAGCAAAATATTCTAGCCCCAACCAAAAACAAACAAACAAAGAAACGGGATTTTTTTATTGTATAAAATATTCTACCACCATCTTAGTGTCTATCTCCTTTACAAACAGTTTGAATAATTTGCTTGAAGAAAGAGATACAACCACCATTACAAAGATCACCTTTTAGTCCACACGGTGCAGTTCCTTAATGGAAGATTGATCCCGACTTCAAGTGTTAACAAGTTAATCGGTGTTTTATTTGATAACACTTTTAATGAGGTTACTATTGTTTTGAAAGACTAAATCACTAGGATCGCAATACCTTGAACGTAGCACACTACGTACCGCCCCCTCTTCCTAATTTTAAAAAGTCCTCCACAAAAAAACGATAATTAGTAATTACTAAGTTGTGATTAGATTGAAATTTCACTGTGCCGACAGTTTATGGGGAATTCACGGCTTTAACAGATCAATATGCGGCACAAGCTTTTAGTTAAATATTCATACACGTGTAATATTCGCAAGTTCGGCGATCTTCCAAGTATTTTATACGCCCAAAGTGTCACATAGGCGTTTCCTCCGCAAGTTGGACGTCGTCTGCTTTGAACTCGTAGCTACACTCGGCTGTCCTGGGTGCGCAAGCTTGTTCGCATTCCTGAAAAAAAATGTGCATTTTGTCGATAAGTTAGATGTTTTTAATGTCTATATACACCTATACACGATGTTGTGCGCAAATATGACATCGTAACTAATTGGCCAGGATAGAACTAAGATTCTTTATTCTCCCTTTCGGGGGTTCTTAGATATGTGCAGGGTGTCTCACTCTATCACAAATCCTTAGCAAAAAAGTAGTTCAAAATGCAAAGGAAACAACATTTTCATATTGCTACTATACTCCGCGACAACGTTTCTTGGAAATGCAGTGGAAGGTACAGGCCTGCGTTCCCTCTCCCATTTTGAGTGTGCGCCGGCTCTCCTTCTCTCCCCATTTCCGGGGAGAGAAGGAGAGCCGGCGCACAGTCAAAATGGAGAGGGAACGCAGGCCTGTACCTTCAACTTCATCGCCAAGAAACGTTGTCGCGGAGTATAATAACTGCCACGAGGTATATTATCAGTGGCCCAGTTGTCAGAAGGCTCTTCTCATTATCGTTATGCAGTTTTTTTTTTAATCTTTCAGATTTGTTTAAAACAATCCGTGAAAGCTACACTTACTCGGTTTGAGCGGGTGAGTTATACGACCGGGGGGACATAGTATAGGGAGATAATCGCAACTATCAGTCAGCTAATTAAGTAAAAATTCTTAAACAACTTTTTAATTAGTGCAAGTAGACATATCGTTTCAATTAGAAACTTGCTGAGCATTATCGAAAACCACTAAATCAACTTTTGTTAGAAGGATATAACGCCGGGGCAGCATTTTATGGCGTTCCGTAAAAACGCTCAATTTGGACGCGTTTCTAGATTTCGGTTTCTTATCAGAGCACATCTACCCGCCCGCGGTCCTGCTCCCCAGTGGCTGAGACGCGCAACACACGTGCGCCCTACTTCCCTCCATTCTACGAGGGAGGCGAGGCGGCGGCTTCGCGCCGCGACCACCGGGGAGCGGGACCGGTGGCGCAAAGATGCGCTCCGATAAGAAACCCAAATCTAGAAACGCTTCCAAATGGAGCGTTTTTACAGAACGACGTAAAATTCTGCCCCGACGTTGTATCCTTCTAAAAAGAGTTGATTTAGTGGTTTTTCGATGATGCTCAGCAAGGTTCTAATTGGAAATATGTGTCTATTTGCACTAATTAAAAAGTTAATTAACAAATTTTACTTAATTAGCCGACTGATAGTTGCGACTATCTCCCTATGTTGTGTTCCCCTGGCCGTATAGCTCACCTGCACAAACCGCATAAGTGTAGCTTTCAAGGCTTTTCTTAAACAAATCTGAAAGAATATAAGAAGCACCCTGTAAATTGTTAAGCGCAAATATAATGCAAGAACTTACAGATTTATCGTAGGATAGTAAACTTAACTTCCTCCATAGCTTAAGAAATAATTTACTCGTTAAGTGAAGATTTTGCTTGTATTGCTTGCGGCCACCTGTAAAAGAATAGATCTCATAGGAATCGTATGCAACGGCAATGTTAAAAGAATGATCACTCCACAGACAGCAGATAAGAAGCTAGAATGTGGAAATTTTTTACAGATCGATATTGTGCATCCCACTTCTCTCAAATACTTTTTTCTAATATACTATTACTTACTGAGGGATGGGAAGTGTTATCGGAATAACACAGAATTAACCGTGACATGCCAAAGAAAATGGGCTCTCCAGGTACGACACGCTGCGCCGTGTGGTTTTGGGGACAGGGTAACGCAAATGCTAGTGTGCCTAAGTATCACATGCGCGAATGCCGTGTGTGATTGATGATAATGCAATTAATGAAAAGATGCAAGCCAGCTGGACAAGAATAACCATAATAAACGCTGTAGAACGGGAACATGCGGGACAAAGGAGAAACACAACTCTCATCCGACCTTTAATTGTCTTCTTTGCTCCCTTTCTCCAGATATGATCATCGTTAGAATTCTGTGATAGTTTTTTCTGTCGACCCTTATTACTGCCGCCGCACAATGGGTCATTTTTGTTTCGATATCTAAAAGATTTTATGCTCGCGCAAGCTTTATTACGATGATACGTAACGTCGACAAGCGGTTCAGGTTTGGCACGCCGCGGAATGATGTTAAGGACACAAAATGAATTAAGATCCTCATGTTCAAATTCTCGAATGACGGAGAGTTATGAAAGGAATATATATCCAATACCACGAAAATAATTTTTTTCGCAGCAGTCGAAGGTGACAGAGAGATGGAGACAATATATATTTAATTGAGATATATGGTGTCCTTCAAATGGGATATATATATATATATATATATATATATATATATATATATAAATATATATCACATTTAAAAAGAAAGGGATTATATATATATATATATATATATATATATATATATATACATAGATATAAACCCTTTGTTTTCAAAGGTATGTACACTTGATTTAGGACTATAGTTTTTCTTAAAGAGCAGTAGCGAACAACAATATAGCCGTTCTCAAATTAACGACAAAACGCTCACGTAAATTAAGTGACTGAGTGCTTATTGCTCTTATCTTCATGCTATCATGGAACGTTCTCGCAAAATATCTGTATGCACTTGAAGCCCCTTTATAACCTGCTTCAAAGCACGCATTGATGTAGCAGCGTGAACCCCCCATAAAATAACCGATCCACAGAAACACTATTTGATAAACTACGCCATTTTACTTAATTCTGTAAATTTTACCATAAATATTCACCCCATTCTATTTCCCCGTTGAATTTACATAAATTATCTTTAGTATTGGTACTGTTATCGTAATTGTTTACACGTCGAAGTCTCCTATTTTTAAAGGCCGACGACCAGACTCGGAATTCTGCAAGGCAGTAGATCCTCCTCACCATGGAAAAACAGGCAATGGATGAAACAGGCAATGATAGATAGGGTAGAAAGCGAGAGAGGAGTAAGCCAAGGAAAAGTGGAAAGCGTGAACTGGTCGTCGCTATTTAAGTGAGAGTTCTTTGCTCCGCGTACAGTGGACTTATCTGAGAGGCTTTCTCAATTGAAAATGTCACCGAAAGGGGGGTCAATGGATCACTATTTTATTTGTTGTATTTACAAAACTTAGTCATGTTAACATTTATAAATACTCCTAAAGACGAACATGCAGAGTGGCGTGCGTAAAATTCGTCGTTAGGCAATGGTTGGTTGGTTGGTTGGTTGTATTGTTTGCCGGACGTGTTAGGCAATTGTATTAAACATAATGTTTAGGTGCTTGTGCCGACTGCACTATTGCCTCTTCATGTGTCTAGCAGGAAGAAATATCAGCGCGCCTTCTTGTGGCTTACTTATAAATGGTATGGAACGACTGATCAAGCCACGAGACCATGGTTGACAAACCTTCGTGAATATTCACGGGTAAGACTCGGAAGTGTAGTAATTTATGCAATGCTGTCAGGTGAGAACACTAATAATGTAATCGTACCGAGTTGAGACATACCAAGAAATAGCCTCAGGGATATACTTTTTTATGAAATTTGCAAGGCAACCTTTAATGTAAAATCGTGGAAGCAGGCCGCTTCAAAATAAATAAGGAAACACTACACAATTTTACCGCGTTATTTCGGACAATCTCCAAATAGTGTGTGAGGTGTCAAAGTTTTAGATATTTTAATTGCGCGCGTTTACCGAACTGTTTTTCCTATCAGGTCAGTTGATAGTATTTTCTCACTTGTAAAAGAATGGATCGCATAGGAATTGTATGTAACGGCAGTGTTAAAAGAATGATAACTCCAAAGACAGCAAATAAGAAGCTAGAATGTGGAAACTTCTTACAGAGCGATATTGTGCATCTTACTTTTCGCAAATACTTTTCATCTAATACACTTTTACCTACTGAGGGATGGGAAGTGTTATCGGAATAACACAAAATTAACCGTGAAATGCCAAAGATATATGCTCTCTAGGTATGACACGCTGCGCCGTGTGGTTTTGGAGACAGGGGTTACGCAAATGCCAGTCGAAACAAAGAAGTATTTAATTTGTTTATTATTCTAATACTTATTTTGATTGTGAAATTAAAATTACCTGTTTTAAATTCGGGTGCCAATTCTTCTTGATTGAACTCTAAATCTTACATATTTTGACTGTAAAATTTGTAATTATGTTTTAATTTTTCATCTACGCATGACACAATATATACCCAGAGCTTTATTTAGGCAGCGAAAATCGAAAGCTGTCAACTCGAATTGGCTTAATGTGCACACTAGCGGTTGCCGTCACTTCAGGGTGTCTATTCTGGAAGTTACCCATTGTAAGCCTTGCTAAGCAGATTTCGCAATTGTAGTCATCTTTATAAGGAAGTAGTAACTAATAGTGCATGATTACCTGTAGATAAACTCAGAATAAGGCCGAACATCATGGTCAGTATGGCACTAATGAAGCTGCTCCAGTAAGATGACAGTCGGTACAGCGGAAATAAGTCTTCTATTTTGCTGAAACGAAAAAGAGCCATCAGACAGAAAAAGGATATAAGAATTAAAGAAAGTGTCGCACATATTTTGTATCAATTTTTTTTCAATTCTTCCTATTGTCTTACCTGTCGTTATTTGTTAATGACTCTATTACTTGGCTCGTACTATTCGCCGGGCAGTAGTCCATTGTGACAGCCATCTTAGGAGGTTGGTAGCCGCTGAATGTTTTGCCGAGCATCTGCCATAACTGCAAGATGCTGAACACCGCAGTTGATATTCCTGCACCCTGGGAAGACAATTTATTATGCATGGTTCTGGCAATACTACATTTTATTGCGATAATAATTTGGAACTCCTGTCGAAAACAAAATAAAAAATCGGCGTCGGCGTTGGGATGGGTGGGATAGAAAAATCCCGTAATACAACACGCGCAGTCACGTCTGACGTCACACGTGTCTCTGACGTCATGACCCCATCAACCCGCTAAATTTGGCGGAAAATGCTTCCCTATATTTAGCAGAAAATATTCCCGCCAAGTTCAGCGGAAAGTGTTTCTGCCAAACTTAGCGAAACATTTTCCGGCAAAATTTAACGGGTAATTTTCCACCAACTTTGGCGGAAAGTTTCTTCGCTAAGTCTGGTGGAAAGATTGTTTAACGAATCTGGCGCAATAACTTTAATATCAACACGAGACGTCACGTTAAACGTGACGCTGCCGTCTAAACCACGGAAAGACGCTTGCACCATTTAGGAATGAGCGCGGGTTCACGAAAACGCTGTCGGGTTCCACTCTTAAAGGCGACGCTTAAGCGTCCTCCGGGCTCTTCAGTTCTGGTGCATTCTGGAATACATCTACATAAAGATTATGTATTATTATACCTCTAAGGTGTGTTAAACATTTTAGTGATCGCTTTATAACAAACTCACCCATCCGTTTGCCCATGGGAAGGTTATTGCCAAGAAGAATAGTCCTACAAATGGACCCGTAGCGCCATTGTACAGCACCATTATGATCTACAAAACGAAAGAATATTAACAAGGATCTAACCTCTTAAGACGAGAATCGTCGTTTTGCAATTGAGATGTGATAAAGTTAAGGCATACCCTGCAAGCGGATCCCAAGTACGGCGCTGCCATTCCGTAAGCTGTCATTGTTACACCAACCCCAAAAGCTGCGAATATAACAAAACGAAAAATTGGGGTGTATACTTTGGTCTGACTCCTAATCAAGATATGTAATCAGCTACTGAACCAAGGATGTTGCAAATATTGACTGATGCATCCATTTAGTTTTATATCCCTAGGCGTTTCTTTCAATTTAATGGTCACTGTTTATTTTCATCTGCTCTTCTTGATGTACAAAAAGTTATTTAATATATCATTTCAGAAACAACTATTTTGTGCAAGAAAGGCAGTAAAAAGCCAAATTAATTGCACAAGGTACAGCGGAAATTATCTGGATGCTAAAAGTTTGTATGTATTCTATTTCAAATATATAAAAATTTAAATATATATTTAACTGATTTATGTATAGTTTGTGTTTATCCGGCTTTTGTTCTTGTTCCCAGACACTCCCGTATTGCAATTATCAAGGGGTTGGTTAGCTCCAAATACGTCTGTGGCGAATAGCGTCCTTTTTTGAATGTATCACCGTGTTTTTGAAACAGCACCCATAAGCTAATACTTGATGCAGATATTAATTTAGGTTCTCTTCAAATACAACTTTCAATTTGACGACCAGAAACTGTTATTAGAGAAATAAAGTTGGGAATACTACCGAACTCAACTGGGTGTACTCACCAAGCAACTTTGTTACTTTCGAAGCTTCATTGCTTTTGAGGTGGAAGCACTTCGATAGAATGTCCACATAAAGTACAGCAGCTTGAGAATTTATCAGTGATGATATTGTGCTGAATGAAAAGAAAAGAAAAAAGAAGAAATCTCGCACAGTGTTTTCACTGTTCTAAGGAAGACGTTTTCCTCGGTATATTAACCTTCAGTGTCGCATACTTTTCGACTTTTCAATTTTCCAGTGATGTGAAGGTGTTTATATCTTCTGTCCGAAAGGCTTAGATACGTTAAAACCGCCGGGGTCGGGAATAAAAATCGAGATGATTTAAATTGGCATTTAAATTACACCATTTTATCATTATGATTTAAATTAAACGTGTCCCTCACAGATATATCTCAAATTATGTTTACTTACAGTTTGTATCTCATTTGATGCTTTATATATGCATCTGCTTTGTATCTAAATCAAGTAATAATCAAGCAAGAAACATCATAGTAGCTTGAACACGAGCAAGAAGTAGTAATCTCGTGAGAAAACCGGAACGTTCAGCTTTCTTTTAAATTCCACTTTGTTCATCACTTACATTGTGTTATATTATGAGCAAATCAAAACGTAAAATAATACCGTTAAACGATTATTTTAGCAAAACATATAACGCAGAGTTTTGCTCTAGCGTGGGGGGATTTACATCAATAAAATGTTGTTAATGAAAGTGCCGAGTATTTGATTTGTCCGCGTTGTTTTAGTAATCTAATGAATTTTTATCAACCCGCCATGCCTTAAAATACATGCTGTGATAAATATTTACCTCTTCGAGCTAGGGCAACCAATTCTCTGGTAAAAAAGGAAGGAAAAAATATAATATATTTACCATTTTTTAGCCCACCTGAGACCGGCTGGAAGAAACACGACGACGTCTCAAATACACTTCTGTGTTTGAGAAGTCGTCGTGTTTCTTCTATCCAGCCTCAGGTGGTCTAACAAAATGGTAAACCTACACCAGCTCGCCTGCGCCCTAACTGTTTTTTCATAATATATTGCCGCGCGCGTAGGTAGTCATGTAGACAGCGCGGCCGTGGTCTAACGATTATCGTGCTTGCCTCCCACGCGAAGAGCCAGGGTTGGATTCCTGGGAGCGACGCGAATTTTATTTATTCTTGCAATTTAGAGTTCTGGTAAATTCTAGAACTCTGTTGCATGTTCGACGTCAGAATGTTCTACGCGCCGAATCTTCAACGCCGATTGTTCCAGAAGCCCGCGTGTGTACAAAAGGGGCTCCGCGTGGCGAGCCGGAGTCAGTCTCGCCCCAGCGCTCGATTCTACTGTTTCGCAAACATCGACGCCTGCGACGCTAGCCTCTCTGTATTTCGTTTTTGGCACAAGTTCGTCCCAATAAACGTTTAGTTTCTTCGGTTATTCGCCGCCTCATCATATATCGTTCGTGACAATATATAGATATATGATTTATTTTGGTCTAAAAAGCACGTTCTTTTCAGCCTAGTTAAGAGTTTAAAACCCTACTTAATTAAGATTTTATGAACTGATGATTGTGTTTGAGTTACGAAATATTAAATATTAGTGGATGAATATTGCCACACTTAACGAACGCCTCGATTATTCGCGCATGACATCGAGCCCCGGTCTTTTTCGGTTCTGCATGGGGCTCGCGCCCGGCGCTCTCTCGTGCCCCGCGCAATTTTGAAGAACTGCGAGCAGATAGACCGCACCGGCCCTTCGCTGTCTTTGATCCTGCTTTGCAGTCAGCTCAGTAAACCCTTCTTGGGTTCTATCACCGCCAACGTCTCTTTCGCCTACGTTACAATATAACGTCACCTTGCACACTTGATAGCTTTGTCTATGCATGCAGCTGATTATTAATCTAATCAATTAAAACTCCACAATAATTGTAATGATAGATGGATATGTTAACTTGGCTTCAACTTGAATTTTACTTTTCAGGCTCAAGCTGATTTGTAGTTGTATAACGTGAAGCACTGCAAGCTTCCCTCAGTTGTTTGAAGAAAAAATCGCATATGGCGAGTGAGTGTGGCAGTTTAAAATATTTATTTTTCTTCTGGTGTGTTTTAGTGCCTATCTAGCTGACATGGCATGTATAGCGTCTTCTCTAGAAGTATTCAGCCACTGAACAAAAAGTGTAATTCAGGTTTCAAAAAGATGTATTTATCTGGTGCTTTTATTAAACAAATATCTCATGGGTAGGATGTTTTACAAAATGTGAGAGAAACGTCTGTCATTCCAACCTGCAGAAATTAAAAATGAAAATATATTCTTTGTCCAAGCATAAACCCACATATAAAACAGCCGCTCGAATATGTTGGATCTGCTTTTGGGTGTTCATCTCATAAACTGAATGTACCTTTTCGTTCTACGTGGCGCCATCTGTGAATAAAAGTACCAGTTAGATGGTTTCGCTTCGATTTTATTCCTTTGCGTATGATTACAATACGACTTTATTTTTGGCAAAAAGTATGAAAACAAAATTTTAGTATAACAAGTGCACCACCTGAAAACGTCTTTATGAAAAGTATCCATACACTCTGTTGATTGGTTTATATATACTGTTTTGTTTACAAATGAATAGCGTTCAAGAACTCCGTCTAGATGGCGTGTCCCAACAAGTGAGCAAGAAATGATTAAAGACGGACGTGTTCTAAAAGTTTTGATATGTTATTTCAGTATAAGCAATAGTGGCTGAGAATAATCGTGGAACTAAACGTCGAAAATATATGCTACACGATGTTCTCACACTGCGCGAAAACACTTAATTGTTCAAAGAAAAATTACCTTTCCCGAATAACCACTGGCGAGCAGAATTGACCGCCAAGTTTGTGTAACTTGACATCGTGCAGCTTTATTATTATGTATTTCTTTTAAGGGGAAATTTATTGTGTCTATGCCAAGATACCAAAAGCAATATGTGTCAAGGCAGATATATCATGTGTCATTGTCGAATTAAGTCACAAACCCGCTGAAATGTCATCCACACTGTTTTCAAGGAAAGGATGTTCTAACAGAGTCGTGGGGGACAGCTGTCGGATATTCTGTTGCAAAAGTATTCCCAGACTGCGTACTTCATGCTGAAATAAATTATAGAGGTTTCGGCATTATTCTTCAGAACAAATCCTGCTTTCTTGTAGGGACACATTTCTGAAAATCGGTTGTTGATAGGTTTCTTCTTGTGTTGAAGATATACTTGAGCAAATACCATGCCATGAGGCGATATTCTGATGCGTACTGTATGGCTGAATGTACATATAAAAAGTAAACCAGAAGCTTTTTTGAGTCATCAAATTAAACTACATTAGAGTAAAAAAAATAGTGTGTACAGTCAATTTCTCCCTCTCAAACGTGTTTTATAACCGATCTTTAATGACGAAGGCAAGAATGCAATGCACGACCACCGCTGGAATTATTTTTATACTCAGTCTTTTGGGTGATAACGGTGTTTGTTTTTGCATTTGGACAAAAGGGCTATCTCAACACGAAGGCAGTTTTGTCTGCGGTTATTTAATTTGATATTTTGCAAGATACGAAAAAAATAAGGCTGTTCAGAATATAAAGGCGCAATAGTTTCTGACACAATATAATTCTGCTTACCTCGTGGCGGCGCTCACAACGCCAGCTAGAAACAAGCCGGTAAAACATGGAAATTCGTCCAGGTACTTCCTCACGTAGTAAGGTACAATCTGTGACATTTGCAGTCAATGAGTGCTTGTTTAAAGTCACTAAATGCCTGTTGCAGTATATCAGATGTCACCTCAGCTTACAAATCTTATGGCATGACATTACAAGGAAATATATTTTATAAACCTGTCGGGCATTTTTGTGAATTAAGCAATAATATTTTATTAATTTGAAATGTGTGATACCCTAGTGATGGGACTTCAACGCTGAACGTTGTGGCGGCCGAATACAACAATACTATTGGCTATCAAAATGCCCAAGTAACCTTATGCTCTCAGTGTTTCTTTTTTTTTTTTTTTTTTTGTTTTTTAAGGGCAGGAGTGGGAATCGGTGCCGTATTTTGTTAGCTTTTCGCATCTTGAAGCACGTGTACCGAAAGCTCGCGTTCCAGAACTCAGGGATGCGGGGATCGATTCCCCCCCTTGCGCGTCTTGATCACAATCACCGTTATACAGGCGTGCGGTCTTGCATCACTATTGACTGATGTACGTTAAAGTCCCAAGGTTAGCAGACGGGCTGCAGTGGCAAAATATGAAATCGACAGAGATGATCCTAGACGCCTACAGGGCCTGAATACCCACTGCCCAAACATTCACCAGAACATTGTTTTAAAAAATAATGGTGGAATAGCTCTGTCCTTCTGCATGACATACAAGTGTCTGGAAATGAAAGAAATGGCTATCCTCATAAACACTAATTCCGAAATATATTCTTATCACCTCTGATCATTATGAAATCTGTTTACTTAGCTACATTGAAATGTTAGCTAGGTTTTGCTATGTAACTTTCAAACATCAAAAGTCCGAACATCTCGTCACTCTCATTAAAAATCATAAATAACACATCAATGCTCAAGAAATTAATCTCACCTGGTCGTAGCTGGTGATGGCTCCGGAAAGCAAGGGATCGCAATCGCGGAACCAGTAGACCATCACCAAGCCTAGACAGGCGGCTGTCGCGTAATAACAGAAGAGGAGAAGTGTGCCCACTTTAGCTGTTCTGGAAAAAAGTTTGCGAAACATTATAGTTACAGATGAGCAACTTTAGTGGTGCTGACATGTACCGGAAACATTATTCAAAGAACCATATTTTGGCTTCAATAAAACATAAACAAAGCAATTAAATAAATAATTCCATGCGTCTATGTCTAATGACGCTGTTCCTTACGTACACTTTTAAGTGGCATTCAGTACGGGCTCCCTCAATTCTTGGTAACAAAATACGATGTTTGCATGAGCATGTGCTATGACTAAAATAACATTACTCTTTTTGTCTCCTTCAAATAATATTTTATGTACAAAATCTCGAAACGTCAGGCATGCTTTTCACCTTCAGACTCTAGGTTATGAAAAATAGTACACGAATGTTCGAAGGCTTTTTTAAGTGTTTGCTCGTGTTTTAATTGAACTTACGTTTTTTAAGTATTTCTACATTTTTTAATAAGAAAACAGCTAATTAAAATGTACAAAATCTTTACCGAGAGGAAGAAGCATACCATTGGTCAGGTTTCATTGTTTAGTTAATGTAATTCTGGGACTGATTTCCCGCCAGTGCGGACAGTATTTTCCAATTTTAAAACGTTCTAAGACTGGCCAAATAGCTTTACCGGCATGCCTGTAGAGCGCTTAGAAGGGGCGTTCAAAGTTGAATGGACCTTTTTATTGTTCAGGGAAATTGGAAAATCCGTCATACACAAAGCTATGCCAAGGTTTCAAAATATTTCCTTTTCGGTTCCGGTCACTGCTGACATCGTTCTGGCTGCTCCATAATGCGTTTGTATCAGAACAAATGATCCTGATGGCTGCCGTAGGACGAACGTGTTAGTGCAGTTAATCATGTTACCGACTGTCGCCCCTTGCAAAACCGTTTGCAACATTCATACGATCTCGTCCGTGAGATTGTCTGTTCCCCATACCGTGCTTGCAAATTTTCCAAATTTAAACCAGCTCAACATAAGTTTGATTATGCGTCGTAGCTTTAAATATGCCGAGACACTGCTCGACAAAATGATAGTTTGAACATCTGCGTATTTTTCGAATGCGTTATTCCGGGCGCCAGATACTCAAGAATAGTCACTTCAACGTCCTCGGCAAGGTTTGTTGCACTACAAAGCTTGTTCTACAATTTCTTGGTATTAAAAGTTCCGGTCAAGCTTGAACGACCGTTGTAATTATTTTAAGTGAGATACATTGTCATAACTCATTTACCTCTGGGCATCCTTAAGGTTTCTTGCCGCCAGGTAGCGCTGAACGATCATCTGGTCGATGCCACCGCGGTACACGTACATTGTAGACAAACCAAACAAACACGCCCATACATTCTCCTCTTTTGTGAGGTCAAAACTGCTTCTGTAAGTATTTGATAAAAATTAATCCGTTTGCACTTCTTTATGAAACACATATCATTTCTGGAAACAGCTAAGGCATGAATATACATAGGACGTAGTGCGCATATGCCTTGTCTATCCCTCCGATGAACGAAAGGCCAAAGCTAGTGGCTGTTAGGTCCAATTACCAGCAAGTTACAAACCGGGTAGTTTATTTACCCGACGCGCGTATCAGTGCGCGAGTCTCTGGAGATACGCACGCCGGAATAACACGTAGTTCCTAACTGGTTCGTGATTGAACCTGGCAGCGCGTTGCTTTGGTCTTTAGTTTATCATAGAGACCTTTCACTCTGTATCATTCAAAATCTGCTGTGTTAGTTTCATGCAAACAAAACCTATCATTCGAGTTCGGCTCGTACATTCTTCATCAGGAGAAAATATTCAGATCCATCTGTATGACAAATTGTAGCGGTTAAATCATTTCGGTGGTTTGCCTGTCTTATTACCATATCACACTATTTACCTGTCATGCGTAAGTTTCTAAACACGCGGTAAAAACATTTTGGTATGGTGTGCAATCTAATTCCACTCAATCATATTTACTTTTAGTCGTGTGCTTCCATATAAAAATGTCGCAGCTAAATATAATAATAATAAAAATAATAAAGTTTATTTCCCATTCGATACAGGAATGGAGGAAACAGAGGGAAAAAGCTGTTTAACAGCTTGACGAAGCCCCCTGCTCCCTTACACTTCCACATGACAGATTAGAAATACAAAGCAACAACAAAAATATCAACATTGTATACAAAAATAGATTATAACCTATCACAGAAAAGTAATATATTCAATTCAAATAAGAAAATAAATCTTGCATTGCGACAGACATTATATCAACGTTTTTGTTTAAGAGGAAATTTAGTAAAGTAGGTAGCATATACTTTAGAGACTGCATGGAATAGTTTTTATGGCAAAGAGGCACAGCCCAACGTGCCGCCGAACGAGTTGGATAGGAGGTAACATGTTCCCTTAGTTTAGAAAGTTTGGCCAGAATATCCACGTTTCTTTTTTTTTTCTACCTTAAAACGGACCATAAGTTTATATGTATACATATCGAAAACACGCAACAAATTATATTTTTCAAACAAGCCCTTGGAGCTTGAAATGTAAGAAACATTAGCAATGAGGCGAACAATTTTTTTTTTGTAATAGATGTATTTCTTGTAGATTTGAACTGATGGTTGCACCCCATACCAGGTGGCAGTAGTTTAAGTGGGATACAAATAGAGTTTGATAAATAAGTAGTTTAATGTTGTTTGGTAAAATAAAGCGGTTTCGTGAGACTAATCCGATGACCCTGGACAATCGAGGAAGTATATAGCTTACATGGTCGTCCCAAGACAAACACTGGTTAAAAATAACGCCAAGACTTTTGAAATTTTCTACTATCTCTATAACCTTTGAATTTATTACGAGACTTCTCGTTATAAAAACGCTTTGATTTTTGGTTCGAAAGAAAATTGCTTTGGTTTTACTACTATTAATTTTAAGCCCGTTGTCGGATGTCCAATTTTGCAAACCTGTTAACGTATCATTTGCGCAGTTGATAAGTTCATCACTAGTCTTAGCCGACAATAAAAGGGTTGTATCGTCTGCATATATAACAAATTGAGCAAGAGAATCTATTTTAACAATATCATTAATATAAATGTTAAATAGCAAAGGTCCCAAGATACTCCCTTGTGGTACACCGGAAAAAACAGACATTGTATTAGATGAAAACCCATTTAAATAGACAAACTGCTTACGATTACTCACATATGACTGAAGCAACGTAAGTGCTTGGCCCCGAATTCCATAAAAATAAAAAGTTTTTAGCAATAAATTATGGTTTAGATAATCAAATGCTTTCGTAAAATCAATAAATACGGCTAAAGCTATCTGGTTTACCTCAAAACTCTCTAAAATAAATTCTTTTTGTTCTAGTAATGCTAGATCTGTCGAGCGATGCTTCATGAACCCAAATTGATCATTAGTAATTACGCGATACTGATTAAAAAAAATTGACAGACGAATGTGAATAAGTTTCTCTAAGCCCTTAGAAAAAACCGGTAAGATAGAGATAGGTCTATAATTATTTAAAGCACAGACACTCTAGCTTTTTGCATAAGCTGTGGAAACACCCCAGTTGAAAAACATAAATTAAAAATGTAAGTAAGGAAGGGAGTGATGAGCGATGCATTGCCACTTACATTTACATACGACAGCCAAACCACCTCATAATATGTTAATAAAAAAAAAACGTGGAGGTTTGCGTGCTTGGCCTGGTTGACATTTTTATTTCCCCCGACCGGGGTTTATATTTTTGCATACATTCTGTTAATCACAACACTCTCGCGTTTTTACTTGGCCCCTAGATTGCCTAATTCATAGTGTCATGTGAAGCGTAATTAACCAGAATTATGCAAATTGTAAGTATATGGAAGTGGCATTTTTAGGTATGGTTATATTTTTGACGCCCTGAAGATTTTTATTTCGATGCCTCGGGTTGGTATGGGAATTTTCGGAGTCAACTATTAACATTGGTTTGCTTGTTATTTTAACCTATGTCAGGCAATCCACCATTCTTCTGTAGATGTTTATGCATTGATCAATACTTCCTCTTGGACAAGTTGTTGGTTCATGCTCACACTTCAGAGCGCACGGCAGCATACACACTTCAAAAGTTCGCTCACGCAAAGAAAGCGCAGTGTGAGTGTGTTTCTTCGTGGGAGTGAACTTTTGGAGTGTGTGTGCTCTTGTGCGCTGTGAAGCGTAGGCATGTTTATACGTGTATTTGAAGCGTTTGTGCAGACGAAAACTTAGCCACAGCCGGAAATTATATTTTTATGTATTTCCTATTTTTATTCAACACCCACTAACCAACACTGAGACTTTGCGCTATCTTGTGTCGCGTGCTGCACGATTTGTTACAAGTTAAAAAAATAAAACTGATTTCCGTGATATGCCCTTAGTATTTTTCTTTTCGGTCTCTTTTCTAGTATTGATCCAACCACCTTAAATATTGCGTGTCAGCAGATAATAATCCGGCATACAGGCAAATATATTGATTTCTAGAAAAAAAAAGTATTAATGTCAAAAATATGTGATAACTTATAAAATGCTACGCTTACTTCATGGCAAGCTAAACCTCTCAATGGATTACTGACACTGCATGCATTCCAAAAACAAATCACCAATGTTGCATTACCGGGACCGCAAAACCTATAGCTACAAAAAGACCGCAGGAAAGCCTGCACGCACGCGTACACACACACACACACACACATAGGAAAAAGGCTCCGCTAAATACCTATTACGCGAGGTGCATTCGGCTCCGTAAAGAGCTTCGTTCATGCGTGAGGTCAATCGTAGTAAAAAGGCGCTCACAGAGGCACCAACTATTTTACTAAGGAGAATGCACTTAGCTCCGCTCATTTGCACCAAACGGCGGTCCTATAGCGTCGAATACCTCCCTAGCAGTGCGGGCGTTTCGCATAGCAGAGAACCCATGCGCCTCGCGCTGTCCACAATCAAAGGGAGAGGGTTACCGCGGACCGTACCGAGACACCGTATACGTTTGAACGGCTGTCTCCACTGACGCTAGAGAAGCCCCGTGCGATAGATAGCGCCAACCACACCTCTCAATTCAAGGGGAAACCCCGAAGCTTCACCACCGCGTACAGCCATTGAAACTTCGTAAAACCTGTCCGCACCAATAACATTGAATTTTCGTGGAGTACGGTGTAATCTCCTAGTATTTAAATGCATCTTGCTCTAGATAACGCCAAAACAAAGGGGGGAGGGGGGGGGGGGGTTGGTGTCCGCAGCGTGTAAATTTGTTTCTCTATCTGCCTTAGAATTTAGAGGCGGGGACGCAATGCAGACAGAAAATTGCGGGAAGAGTAAGGTATTTGTTTTTCCTGCACGTATCGATCAGCTAAATACCCGGTTCCTTTAAAGGCAAGCTTAACTTATGCCCATACAAATGCAATGACGCTATAACTAAAGTGTCACCAACTGAACTAAATGTAACCCCCATAGAATCCTAAATTTGTCATTATTAAAAAATAGGTTTAGAGCAAGTAAAATGGGACCTACTCAAACGCGAATGCTTTCCAGTTCATGTCACTCAGTGGGCGAAGTCTGACGTCCTTGTAATACGAGTCGTACAAGACCTTGGTGATGATGGTTATGGGGGCCAAGAGTACGAGCACGGCTTGCGCACAGTCGGTCCATACGACACCCCTAAGACCTCCCTGTTGGGGGAAATCCCATGACTGTGGAGATCATTGGCTACCTGTGGTTTTGCGCTACATTCTAACACGAGTGTTGGAGCGAAAAGGATTGTCGCCTTCCAGGAATAAAACCTTTCTTGTTTGAATGGTGTCAGAACTCTATTATCCAGGGTAAAGTTTTAACGATTTACAGATTCGTTCATTAAAGAAACTGCGAAATCTACACTAATGCGTTCTGTAAAGGTGAGTTGCATGTAGTAGGACTGAGACTTAGGCTGGTAGGGTCGTATTAATAATAGTAATATACGTTAAAAACGAGTAAAACAGATGATTAGCACACAGGACGCCCTGACTGTGTGCCACTCATCTTGTCCTCTTCTTCTTCAGCGAATATTCCTTTTGTGATTTATACGGCAAGGGGGATATACTATAAGGACATAATCGTCAAAATAAGTTGGTTAATAACAAACATTTGTTATTTTCCTCCTTAAATGTTGAAAATAAAGATATCGTTCCAAATAGACACTTTCTTCGCGTCATGAAAAGCCACTAAATTAGTGTATTTTAGAAATATTTAGGACCTGTGAGGAAAAGCGGCGGTGCGCAAAAGTTGCCACTCGTCACAACAGGCAGAAGGCTAGTGGTGCGTGAACGCGTCCACGCAGTTTTTCTTCTCTTATCATAAATGGCGTTTTCAAACAACCAGCATTGCGCCCGTTTCACGAAAGGTGACTTTTCCACACCACCCGCTTTCCACGCGCACCAAATCTCTCTGAGATTCGCTTAATTTGTAATTCTATATGCATTGAGCTAAGAAAGTTTTTAGTTAGGGCCACGATTATTTTTTCTCGGTGAAAAGTGAACCAAGAAATGTTAGCTATTTACTTGGTCCGCCATGACGATTAGACCCTATATATTGTCTTCCTGTCTGTATAACTCATCTACACGAAATTCGCAGACGCTTGCAGCAGGCGATGAACGCTTTCACCGAGTCCTCGCAGCTCGTATTGCAAACGCTGCCCGCAAACCACGTGACCCTGACTGAGCAGTTGCGAACACTTTGTAAAGTAGGCTCTCTACGGCGCGCGAGCAGACGCCTCATCTCACACGAACGTGGTTTCTGCGCATACGAAGTGCCCACACCTGGCGCGGGCGAAACCAGGGTTGTTTGTGAGCAGCGTGTTGGTTTATAAGACAAACTCAACTCTCAGACGTCATGGCATTGCGATGGCGCTGCTGTCTTTAGTGCACATGCGCAAATGCTTCTCCTCACGCATACTTGGTTTCTGTAGACGCGCAGTGCCCACGGCCTGTGTGGGAGAGCGCGTGTTTGTTTGTAAGCAGCGTGTTGTTTTATACGTATTGCCCTGTATACTCACGAAGAAAGAAGAGTATGCTATACTTTAGTTCAACTTTAGTCAAGACGCAGCCGACGCCACGAGATATGAGACCGATTGAGCCGCGTCAAAAGCGCCAGTTGCTGCCTTTTCTTTTGTTTATAATTGGTTTAGGAATAATAAAACACGTCCAGAAACGTAACGAACATCATGATGGTGCACTTTTGACGATGTCTCATTGGTCCAATCTGATTGTAGCGTCGGCTGCGTCTGGACAAAGCCCGCCTTCTTCGCGCTAGCATCTTTGTCTGCTGGGCTGTAGAACGCCTTCTGAGCATGCGTTGTTGCTCTGCTGTGCGGTATGTCAGACGCTGCGCATGCGTCCACCAGCTCAGTGACTGAAAAATTTTATCCCGGGCAATAAGCGATGCAAATGCCGATAGTACTCCTTTTGTTGCGTTGTCTTTCTTTCAAGACATTTTTTTTAAGTGAATAAATTTCAACGCATATGTCCGCCTGTATGTTGTACTGTAATTTTTGTGGAGCACACATACGTTATATTTATTTAATTTTTGAAATTAAGCAGGCGGTACAATATCGAGAGTTTTTATCCTTTAGATTTCTATAGCTTTTACGTGAGCGCACTTCTAATATCGAACCTGCGTGACCTCTAAATAAAATGCCACATCTCCCCTTCACTGGATAAGATTACTGAAATAAATACTGCAAGTTAGGGTGCTATCGGAGAGGCTATAATAGCGTGATATGTGCCGAAGTCAAAGCTCACAACGCTCAAAGACTAAAAGCAAAAATAATGTCCACGGGACTCAATGCCTTTGTAATCATAAAACTGATGGCCGAGGTCCGCAATCTTGATGGGATCTGGCAATTCAATCAAACGCAATGTGTATACTTGCCAAAGCGGTGTAGATGGTTCCTGTGAGGCCAATAACAAGACTGCACCAAGTTAAGGAGATGCCAAAAACTGCGGGGAAGAAAAAAACTTAAATGTTTCGTTTTGCATCACACACAATTGTTGTTTATGCGCACAAACATAAATAGACAAAAATCATGGCGATTGTGAGGCTTCAACCCTGAGGCTTTCTCCAAAATCGGCCAGAAAAATAAGCGACTCAAAGTATCGATTTCAAATACGTACAGTATCCACAAAATGTATAGTTAGGTTGTGTATTTTGTCTTAAGAGATAACAAGACGTAGCTCCTTTCTCGTGAAAACAGTTATAGACATTTTTTCATTCACTATTGGCCGACAGCGGCGTTGAAAGCCGTGTTAGCAATTCTAGGGGTGCTAGATTTAAGGGATATAAATATTCATACCATAGATATCCCTTGGAATTTAATGGCGAACGTTTAAGGCACAAATTGGGTGCACGTGCACTTGCTTGCGTTCTCTCACAGCAAGTGGCATAATGGGCGAAGAGACGGAAAGGCGCCGCAAGGTATTTACAGTCGGCACCTTCGCCACCCCCGGACAGCCTTCATTGAAAGCACGACCAAAAAATCACGTGATCTTCGCCAAGCAGTTGGAAGCACTTTCAAATCTAGGCACTCAAGAGAGCCTTTTGTTTGAAGCGCCCCATCCCCATTGCACTGTCTCCTGATTGCTGCGACTGTCGTGAGGTGGCGCCACAAGCACAACACTTGTTAACTCGGTCGTAATCATCGCTGTCCACGGTTGATTGTGGCGAGGGTAATGGCTTCATTTTTTACACGAAAGAAGTTAAGCCTTCGAAGCTCGTAAGATAAAATATACATATAAAAAACACCTCTGTTAAAAATGATAGGTCGCTGCGTACATCCGTCGATATTTTGGTCTTGTTTTATACCGATTAGGAGGTTTCAAAAAACGCCGTAAATATATATATTTTTTTTAATTTTTATTACCTATATGGTTTGGCATTGTGCTGATTTTATTACGAGTACTCGTTGATCAAAAATATTTTACTTTATTTAAAACATTCTGTTGAAATTATAACTATAAATTAAAAACCCGGTGGACAATGCAGGTAATATTATCCTAGGACGTACAAAACTTACTTGTGGAAACTGCTGCCGCGGCTGGAAAAATGGCAACTGCACCTAGAGTTTGCTGCGCAAATATGAATAATAATACAATCGCCTTGAACATTCTTCATGACATATAGTAGCTAGGCTCACAAAATAGCATTACTTATAATGACCATAGCAGAATAATATTTTCGGTAAATGTATTTTGCTGTACCAATTTCTTTGAAGTTGAAAAATATAATTCATTTGTGGAAAAGAATTATATTATTTGCTATACATAATAGTTTTTTGTTGTGGTTTCTATGCCATGTACTCATTCACAGTATACGTATACTATAAGCCCACTCTGTAACAAAGGCCCAATGTTTTTGCGTGTATTATTCTAGATATTTCCAGTGTGCCTGCATCTTTATTGCACTATATTTTGTTTCACCACCCGTTAAGCCAGTTGCATAGGACCCTTAACCTTAAAATGGCTCGTTATTTTGCGTATCGTAAAATCTCTTAATTACGACTGAATACATTTTGTTTTATTCTATCAAGAGAATGTTTTAATTGATGTTACAAGAAATAATTGAACTTTCGTTCTAGACTGAATGGTTTGCATCCAACACTCTTCGGTGTGTCTTTTCTTAATGCAGAGCTCTTTTTGCACTGACAAAAAAATATCTGGAAGGTTTAACAGTCGTTTTACCTGGCTTCTTAAAAGTGATATAAAATATATTTGAAATAAACTGACAAGCCAGGGTAGCACGCCAGAGTAACGCCCCAGGTTGCACAAGCTTGGCATCCTATAGGCCTAACTTGGGTCTAATACGGGTTTGCTCCAAGGCGTTAGTTAAGTGCCAGAGTATATTTCTTTGGCGCTTCTAATGTGAATATTTCTCTTGCTCCTCATGTAAATGCCAAAGTGGCCAAAATGACACGCTGAACCAAGTAACTAGCAGTAATGACTAAAGTTGGCACTTGTTTGGAAATATCGTGTAGGCCCGAAAGTTGCCTTTTGACAACCTGATAACCAGAAGTGAAGACTAATAAAATGGCACTTGTTTCCCGATTTAAACCCAAAAGGTTCCAGATGATAGCCAAACTAGTACCTTCAGTGAAGTCAAACTTTGGCACTCGTTTGGCAAATTAGGGCCAGGGTACCCAGACTCTGACAAAACAAAAATGTAAAGTTTCTCACTGCCTTGGTTTTTTCGCGCTTTTTGAGGTCCTAAATTTTCACGCTAAACACAAATATGGTCCAAAAGAACGGAGCTACGTGAGAAAGCAGAGACTGTAATATCGTGAACATCTTTCTGAAGGCAAACAATAAAAATTATCGACTGTACTAAAAAACGTACTATCGACTAGACAAATATATAAATATACCTTATACATGTTATAGTGCCAACATACATCTGAGTCGCCTGAGCACAGTACGCTACCCAGGATAAATAAAAATCGAAGCCGGTGATGCAAGAAATAAATACAAGTGGAATTGTCTTTCAAATGCACATAGTGTTTGTTCGGCGATGACGGCAATCACGGGGAGGGGGGGGGGGGGGGCAATCACACTAGCAAGAACGTTTATTTTCCTCCTCCTTCATCGCGCCACTCTGCAGCACGTGCTCCGCTAATATAGGATTATAGCGCACATAGCATTTCTGTTCTGTACCAGGCACTAATTAGCTGGCCGCACATCAGGAAAAGAAAAGTGTATCGGTAATTGCAGGTCCGCGCAGACGGTATGTAAAACCTCAACGTTATCAACTTCGCCATCAACAGACTAACGTACGAATTAGTGCAGGAAATGCATATTACTTACAATTCCTACGCCCCCTTCGAACAAGCCTGGGTAAAGAAGGCAGCGCTTTAGTTGGAGGTCTATGCCCTCTTCCGATATGTTACCTTGATCCAAGAGCTCTGTGGTGTATGCCAACCTCTCAGTTCGGCTGGTCACTCCAAGCAGTCAAGATAATAAGTCTCCAGAAACCACATGAGGGTTATTGTTTGAGGGTCTATTCTTGTTCTGATTCAGGATGATTTTTCCCGTAGGGTTTTTGCCATATACAATGAATATATAAATAAATAAGTAAATAAATAAATTTTTTTCTCCCAACCAATAGCTGAGTGGCCTGGGTAGCAGATCACACAATCCGTAAAGGCAAAAATCAATGCCGGAAACACAGAACAATATAAACATACGAAAATTTATCTACTCATTAGACCTATCACTGTAGGTCTCTCGCAGCCTGTGATTGATTAGCTGTCCCACATGTACGCATTTCAATGCTTTTTTCTGTGTTTTTATGTATCCATTTTAATGGTTAACAATAGATTAGCGCTTATCGGGGCATACGTCGGAGAAAACGAAGCACGAGCAAGAGATTCCCCAACCTAAAGCGAACATGCGCGTAACCCGAATACTCCCAGATCGACCCAGTACCGATACGAAAAAGGCACTAGATAAGGTGCGTGCTTCCCGAAGAAAGAAGCATCTTCACGGACAGTTCGACCGGTGAGGGCTTTTATTTGATTGGATAATATGCATTTTTACCTGGAACTTTTCTATCTGTGAAACTTGCTGTTTTCTCCTCTACAATACAGGTCCCAATGTGCGGTTTTATCAGTGTTCCCCGAATTCGGTCAAATCGAATCGGGAATCAGGGTATTTCAGCTAATGTGTGCCCAAGTTTTAAGAAAGCTGGTGCGCACTACATGTGTCGAACAAACGCTATACCCTCCAAAGTCCTAGACAGCCTGTCCAGATTCTTGAAAAAAAGATGGGTAATCAACAAAAAATGATTGTCTGATTTTGCATAATGCAATAAAACTGGGCAAAAGATACAAAAGGATGAGACAAACAAGACGGGACAGAGCGCTGTTGTATCTTTTGTGCTGTTTTATTCCCTTATGCACAACGGTTACCAACTAGCCCAGCTATCAACCTTATGACTGACTTTATTTTAATACAAAAGTTTGGGGCAACATTTCTTCATTAAAAACTTGTAGAGCTTGTTTATACACACCCAACAGTGTCTTTTGCGTTAAAGGGAGAATGAAGGCAACTACGGATGATATTTTTCGCGATTGAACTGGCTTCCAGGCACGTCTCAGGCCACGTTGCTAAAATTTGAGCGGAAACCGGCGCTTCTGTGTCCGCAAATCGATTAAACAGTCGCGGCACTAATCGTGCCGGGATCGACTGGGGCGACGCCCCGAGAGTTGCGGGAGAAGCCAGGAAAAGCGGAGCTCACGTGACCGTTGCGGGGCAAGAAGCGCGACGTCACAAGAGAGGCGTCAGCGATTGGTCGAAACAAGAGACGTGCCCTGAGTCACGTTTTGGTACGCAATTTTTAGGAATACTGTTCTAATTTCCGATTGAATAGCCATGAAATGCATAAATTGGACCGGAAATGATTACTAAACCAAAAACAGAACAGCATAATTGTTTTTCTCTTAGCTACGCTAGACGCGGAACGGGCACCGAGCAACTATGGGCAAACAAAAAAAAAAAAAGGAACACGCGGGAGAAGCTTGGTTTTGGTTTCAGTTGTCTGTGTCGTGTTTACTTAGCGAACACGGTACTCGAAGGATTCTGAAAAATTGTAGTCATGCCAAATTTGTGCGCTGTAGATGGCTGTTTTAACGGTCGACTGAAGAACAGTATTCGTTCGGGCGACGCTAGTTTTCACGTGTGGGTCGGTGTTCGTGTTCTTTGACGACGAAAAGAGAAGAAGAGAAGAAGAGAAGAGAAGAAGGCTTTGGTGAAAGCCAAAAATGGTGCTGTTTTTTTTCTCCTTCTTGGGGAGTGTCCCCCGCAGAAGAACCGGTTTCCGGAACGGCCGGTTGCCCTCGCTTTCCCGTCGGCATCTCCCCCGCGTCCCTGTCCTTCGGCAACGCGCCGCTTTCGTCTCCCCCGCGCGCATGTTGCTCACTGCTTTCCTGCTCGGAGCCTGCGGGCCGCTCTTAGCCGGCTGGGGGGTTTCCGTCGGGTGATGGCGGAGGCCGCCAAATACGTACTCCCGTTCCGTTGGTGTTAGGTCACTGAACGGAAGCCCCGAACTGAACTCGCTCGCGAGCGCGGCATTGTCGTCCATGTTGACAGATCTGACGAAGCGACCGCGTAACCGCGCTGCTATAACCCACGGCGGTAACCAGAGTCTCGATCTCCTAAATACTACCGATACCAACTATTCACTCTTGACGTCACTCGCTACGTCACCTCCGTTTTTAGAGGTCCAGATATGATAATGGAGATAGTTCAGTTTCGGTTTCTTCAGTTCTTTCGTAGGCACAGAAATACGCGTCACAAATGTCTACATAAAATTGGGCAGCATGATAGGTTCCCAAAAAACCTAAAAACCCAATTTTAGAAAATCGTCTTCATCGTCCCTTTAATTTAGCCTTCCTGTGCCTATTTTTTTTTAAGTTTCAATGAAAGCACGTGTGATTAAGAATTCATGTCCCAAATGACTAAAGTCAACTAGCATTGCAGTTGTGTAGCCAAAAATCATGTATTTCTTTCAAAATATCGTTCTAGGCTTTTGAATTAGTTTTGTGAATCTTGAAGAATTAGACGCCTAAGGGTTTTGTTTATGGAAACGACACAATGGGATGTTTTTCCGAACGATCCACAAGTTTTGCGCAACAAATTAATCTGTGTTCAATAATCAGTATGGCGCATCGCAAGAATGACCCTGACTTTCTCCATAAGTGATGAATGCGGCATTAGTTCAACACGCTCAGCGTGCACCAACTTTTCTTTCTTTATGTCCGGTCAAATGTTAGCTAAAAGACTTTGTATAGCAAAAACAAAAAAACACTACTTTTACAAAACTTTTTTATCCCTTTTTCTTTAGTAATATGATATTCTCTAATTTCATTTCCGGTAAAATTAGAAAGTCTGGTAAAAAAAAAGTATTGTTTGTGTTCTCTTTACCAACAACGATTATAAAATCGACCATTGCCGAAGGCTACAGTTTTTAGTAGGGTGGCATTTGAACTAGTTGCTAAATCATGCTGCCTTTCGTCATTCTTTTTTTTCCGAGGTTGCACTTTTATAAAAGGTAGCCGGGGCTGTAAATGCAGCTGCAA